GTCAAAACCAAACTTATTGTAAATAAATAATAATGAGAATAATTATCCTTTAATATTATATAGATTATTATAAAAGTAAATAATTATTTAATCATTTGTGTTGTTACTAATTATTTCTATACGTTTTTTATACGTGATCAATCGCATAAGTGTAATTTATTAAGCATGTGCTTATACATTTTATTTTACCATATTATTATATATATTATGTATAACATGTTTTTATAATTCTATTATTTTATTTTATTTTTATTTATTATTTTAAATGTTTTGGATTTATTTTTTGTAATTTGTACAATCAATGTTTTTTCATTCGAATTTCAATTTATTGATTAGTTTTTACTATTATAATCTCAATTTTAATGAAATAGTTATGCTATTTATCTGTATTAGAATATGTGGTATATAATAGCAATATATCCTATTGTATATCAACTAAATCGTCTAAATCAGACAAGATTGAAAATGTTTATTGTTTCATAATTTTTATTAGGTATTTTTAAAATATGTAATATTGTTGAATGCAGGTAAAATATTTTTAAGTTACTACCTTTTTTGCCGAAAAGTGATCGGTAGAAAAAACAAACTAAGTATTTAAGCTCCAGTTTTAAGTTTGATCTAAACATGACATAACTAGTTACTTTAAGTATAATATATATATAGTGTCGGTTTGGCACATTTAAGGTCCTGGAGAATTTTTTTAAGGGCCCCATACTTAAAAAATACAAAAGGTTTGAAAAACTAACATTAAAAAATATATTATATGTATATTCATTATAATATTAGTTTGAAATCGATCGATAATATTTTTTGAAAATCACATCAAGTTTAATTTTGTAGCACTATATTTATAAGAATGTTAGAAAAGTTATGATTTATAAATATAAATATTCATAATCTAGCTTTAAGTATTTTGTGTATACACTTATTCACTTACACGAATAATTTAATGATTGTTATATATTATTGTATTAATTTAATGTAGTACGAAATAGTCAACTAAACAATATTATACATATTTTATATATTACTAAACAGTAAACATATATGTAAAAAAGACAATATGTTGTTGTATCACGATATTTTATAAATCTTAGGGCTTGTAGAAAGAAACACGAGTGGAGGCACCACCCAGTCGAACATTGTTTCTACATACTACATAAATTATTATTTTTGGTATACGTATAACACACAACTATATAAGTATAATAATATTATATAAATTTCATTAGTATAATATTTATGATTGGGAATGTCAGAAATAAAAATTCTATTTGGTTCATTATCAAATATGTATGGCAAGTGGTGACCATTTAAGATATTAATATTATAAGCTTTTTTGTTGGATTAAATATAAGTAAATAATAATAGTAATAATAATAAAAAAACAATGATCCAAGAGTAGTTTTTGTTATTACATTGAGGGTATATGGTGTCTATAAAGCTGTCAACAAGTGTCTTATAGCAGAAATAAGAGTAGGTATTGGTGTATCATAGATGTAAGACGTACATTTTGATCGATGAAGTACCTAGACATTTGATATTTTGACATATTAAATTTAACTACGATTCGAGCGTGAAATATAGTTAAAGGTAAAAATCGTCAAATATGATGTTTGTGTATGGATTATAAAATGGTTAACACCTTAATGGATTGACGGTGAACACGTACAAAATAATATTATGCATGAACATAACTTCAGGATAACGAGCTTTTATTAGAATATACAAATTCATCATATGCTGTTGATAATAGGATATACTTAAATGAAGAAATTAAACGTAGTAACAAAGATTATTTGAATAAATGGCAGAACAGGGGTTATAAGTTTAGTCGACCTTAATTTAGTGAAAGAAGAAGACTGCTCTATGTCTGCTATATAGAGTTAAACTTGAGTAAATTTGATTTTATTATGTGTTATGTTTTTTGGAAAATAAGAACAGATTATTATATTCTAAGAAAAAAACCCCACGCCGTAATGTCGTATTAAAAATGTCACGAATACAAAAATATTTTGATGTTAGAAATATGTAAAAATATAACTTATTTATAATCTGTATGTTAGATCTATATTAAAATTAAATTGAATATTAATTTTTATCATGTATAGTACCAAGTAAATAGTCATAATTAATAGTTAGAAATAAAATAATAAATGATAATTTTGTAGTTGATATTGAACGTTATACAATATTTTATGCAGTCAGTCATCGATTTAATGGATTTTTATAATAATTGCATATATTTTTAAGCCTAATTGCAGAATTTTTATATTTTTTTTTTGTTTTATACCTACTCTAAAACGGATTAAGCTTTTTTCCTGAAGAAAAATTGTTTTGATAAGTATGAGAGGTCTAAAAAAATTACTTAAAAACAATTATTTTTAAATTTTATATTTGTGATGTCAGTTGTCAATATGTCTTAAGGGGATTTGAAGTGGTGATTTTCTATCTTTGTATAACACACGTATAACATTGAATTATAGACGTATTCTATTTTTAACTTACCGATTGATATAATAAAGTGATAATAATTATGAAAACAGATATGAATTTGTTGTTAAGATTAATTTAGATTGACTTTATCATATTTTTGATATTATGTCCCCAAAAATTCTAAAAATGATATATTAAAAAGAGTTATTATTAAAAAATCGTCTCAATTAAATGGTTTTAAATTAGAAATTTTTGAAATATTTTTATCGTTTTATCATTTAATCTTTGCTTTTTAAGTTTTAAATTTTGCAATATTGGCTACATAGTTATATCAATAGTATGAACTACATATTAGTTTGTCGTATATTCGAATAAAATGATATCTGGAATTATTTTGATGGTAAGTTTCTGCTATGGTTGTTGTTTACATACTGACATTTATTGCCGTAAGTACTTATGGTACTCTAATCTAATCTTTTTAACAACCGAATGAAGACTAGACTTGTGAATTACATATGTTACTGTGGTAATGTCTAACTATTTGTGACATTTTTATTTTAGCAAACATTTTATTGTGACATTTTTCTGTGATATTTTGACGGGACGAAAAAAAATATTATTATAACAGAGTTTATTCAAATAATATAAATATTTATTCTATAATTTTTATGCAACATTTTTTTTTAAAATTCTGATGGTTTTTAATTATATTTGAATTAATCTACAATTTTAAAATACTATTTTTAATAACCAACGTTTTAAATTTAAATTGTTTATTTTATTATAATTATAAACATATTTACATTATATTAATCAAATTATTGCTTTTTCTTGGAAAAAAATATGATATATATTTATAATTTGGTAACCATTCATTTTTAAATATTTTTTTATGAATAATTAATAACATTGTGAAAAAATTTGAAAAAAATGTTTATATTTGTTCCACTGGTTATTGTTTATATTATTTCTATCACTGTTAATAAGGTTTATATTAACTTTGTCTAGCTTTAAATTAAAAAAAAATGGTAGAAAGTAGCCATGAGCCTGAAACTATTTTTAATTCATTAATCTTAACATAAGTCATGTTTTTATTTTTTAGTTTTAATATTGTAAAATTTATAATCTAATATATTAAGTATAATTAAAATAAACATAATGCTATAGTTATAATATTAGTATCGATTTGTTTTGTATATATGTGTATAAAATATCTAAATGTATCTAATTGGGTTTTGATATACAGTATCTAGCGAAATCTATATGTGTCATTTTTAAAAACCAATAATGAACAAAAATTAAAACCAATAATTCAAGGTGTAAGTTTTTTGGATTTTATAAGTTTAAGCTTGTTTAGTTTTTGTTAAATATTTATTAAAACTTATGCAATGTAGTCTTATATTTATGTGCTGTGTCAAAATAATACAATTTATTGATTTGTGTTGGACTTTCGATCGAGCAACATATTTTATCGATAAAAGTGACACATTGTCACAGCACAAGATTGATCAGCAATATGAATATCTTTCAAAATTCTAATAAACAATACATTTTAAATTAAATTATGATATTAATACACTAAAAAGAAATAATTAACATTCCGTTAAATACAAAAAAAAAAAAAATACTATCAAACTAATTCATAATAATATACATTTTTAGTATCCAACAAAGAATGCATTAAAAGTAATGATTTAAAAACAATTAAATCTCAAAATCAACCAATTACCAATAATATCAACGAATATTTCGATATTTCAAATGTGTCAAAAGAAAATACTCAGGTTAAAAATTTTATAGAAACAATAATTAATTTTGAATTTCCTAAAATCTGGATTAATAATATATAATTATTAATTCAATAGATGGAATTAAACAAATACAATATATTACTGAATTACATTACTGAAGCAATGGACATTATTCCTATTTTACGAAAATATAATAATATATTTTACATTTTTTTTTTTTAACTAGCAATTAGCTGATGGTGTAATTAATAAACCTATATTATATACGTATTATTTTATCAAATGTAACACCTTGTTATTTTTAATATCGTTGTTGAAGTGTCTAACAATATCGATATTAAAATAATCATCATTACATCACTAAAGGCTAGTTTTAAGTTTAATACATTTTGTAATATAACGAGTTTCTGTAGGAAATTATTTAAAAACACGATTACGTTTCCCGAGATAACACTCCCCATAGAATATTCGTCACCGATGACACAGTTACCTGCTTTCTGTGTAAACAAACTTGTCATCTATCCTCATATAAATATAAATGTATCAATCTAGTATTAATACTACTGAACACACTATAGAAGGAGAAAATTAATAATAATGTGTTATACTATATTTAAAATTGCAATAATAAATTATTATTTATTTATTTTTATTATACATATTTTAAACTTGTTTTTCCTATCTTATTATAATAGTATTAGTAATCATGATATAATATGAGTTAATACATTCTTTAATTCATTAGTTAAAAAATAATAATAATAATAATAATAATAAAACAATTAAAATTAATCCATTGTTTATATTTTTCAGTGGAAGAGAGATCCAAACATTCAGTAGTGAATAGAAACCCGCCAGGATGCCAAGCAAATCGAAGGATATCAAGAACGAGTCGGAGAAGTAGTTCAATTGGCTGCCGATCGTTAATGATCGGAAGGCGATCGTCTGCTGGCTTATTAGCCTGGACTAGTTGTCAGGATCCATCTAGGGTAAATAAAAAATTAATGATTACCTAAAAATAATTACATTAAAATCTATTACATCTATTCTTACCTATATTAGTTTTTCAAATTTTATATATAGGTCTTTGTATGTAGCTTTTTCTACAATTTGCTTTTTATAAATTTGAATTTTGTTTTGCATTTTTCAGTCTATCTTTTATAAATTATTGGTCGATATATATTCATAATATATTACATATTGTTATAAGTCAAAATTATGTTAATCAAAGGTTATATCTATATAAAAAAACTGTATAATTTTCTATGTATACATATACATATATGATTAATGCTGAGATATAAAACATGATATTTTTCGTGACTTTTAAAAGTCATTAGATTAAAAAAAGCTGGTCGTTTAAAAAATAAATATAATTTATGTCATTTGCGGTATCTCATCTATCATAAATCATTGAATTAATCCTTTTTAGTATAAGAAAAGTGTACGAAACTTTATTTAGAATAATAAGTCCTTTAGACTTAATTTTCCAAAAATTAAATCGTTCTATTTCAACCGAAGTCACATAGCTGTAGTTGATAATAAAAACCGTTAGCTGAAACAAGATTATTCACATTTTTGTTTAGAATCTGTGTCACAAGGTCAAAGAAAAAATGTAAAAATCTTCATACGCTATATAAGCGCAAACAGTGCGTATAATCGTGTTCGGCGTGAAAGTCATTAGAGGTAATCCGTTTTGTTAAACTCAGTGGCCTTCTCATTAGCTTTTAGAACCAGAAATACTAGGCATAGTTTAAGACTATAAGCCCTTTCTGTCCCGGTTTACACTATAAAGATACCTACCAAGACACTAATGAATTGCAAACCTTGAGACGTTTTCAATACCGTGAATGATGTTGTATCAATCATTATACTCTGGAAGTTTGGCGTAAACATGTTGACATCTTATGAATGAACGTGACAATATAGCCTAAGGGTAAACTTTGATCGAAACATAAAAACCTTTATAAATCTAAAAATAATACTATGCAAATATTACATAAAGTAAAATATTTTTAAAATGCTAAAAAAAAGTTTCAGGTTACATATTATTGTTGTTATTATGTTATATGTTGTATATAATATGGAACATAATAACTTGTGTAATATAATAGTAAATAACAGTATACATTTTTGATTAATTTTTGACGTGTTACGTTATGTTTTAATAATGATGTAAATGAAATTGGCTGAGTAGTATTTTAGCAAAAATATTTTGTTCATTTTAAAAGTATGTAATCAACAATATATATTTTATTTTTTAATTTAAGGCACTTATCACAATTTTTAGTTACTACAGAATTGTACTATGACGAATTCGAGTAACCTTCTCGCTATCAATTATTGGTTAAATTTATCTAGATTAATTTAATAATTTAATAAATTTAGTTATGACATATTATCGTGAGTTGCATATTGTTATCAATTAAGAGTGAAAATACACACATAACTGTGCAATATATGAACAATTTAATACATATTAACTGCAAATAATTATAATAGCTATAGGAATGGTGGGAAATAATAACAATGACACCTATAATAATATATTCAGTTACCCATTATATTGCAAATAAACATAATTTATCGACGGCGAGTATAATTTGCCTGCAGTTCGTTTGGATATTGATTATATTATTTTATTCTGTCATCAACTTATTAACGAATATTATAACATCTTTGAAAATTTCACGATATTAAACTGTTTTTGATTAAATATATTCAAAAAATATAATAGGTTTTATGCTGCCAAACGTTGCGGGTAATTTTTCTCTAGGGCAGGGGATATGGGAAATAATTAAATGCACTGTTATAGTGAACGTTACGGTCTCAAATCAATTTTATATATATTGAACCATATTGATTTTATAATATCTTAAATGATTATACTTATATTATACTTTTAGTTATTAAAATAATAATTAAATAACAAAACGTGTGTATAAGCATATATTCATTCTTAACAATTGTTTCCATAACATATTATATATATTGGATATTATGTCTGACCTCGTAAATATAATGAGAGCATATATTATTATATACATATATTATATATGATATGTATATAAATGTAATTTAATATACATTGCGCTTAGGTTAGTGTTTATAGCACCCATATAATACTAATATAAATCGTAAATTTTCGAGTACAGTCAGAAAACAAATATAGAAGGCGAAATGCTGCCACATGGTTCACACTCCGATTTATACTTGCATGTACGAGAGCTAAGTTCGGATTCGTCTTCGGATAATTTGTTGTGGATCACAATGGCGGCGAGGGCACGATAAACGTGTCGACCCACCACTGGAAAAAAAAAATTAAATAAAAATGTCATGCACGGTTTATAATATGTTTATTATCACACATCGACTGTTATGTCGTATCATCACGTCGGTTGATATTTGAGTCTGATGTAATTTCAACCGATCGGCACGTTACAATATCGCAGCATCTGTCGATCGCTGAAGTTTATAATATAGACGCATATATAGTTGACAAAGGCGTCTTTGAGGGATGCTGACGCGGAGTGTTCGCTCCACCCTAGTGTCTTTCATTTTCTTTACATAAAATGTTGGCTATATTTTCGTTTATAATAAATTCATTTGTTTTTTCTTCTTCAATTTTTATAGTTTTTTTTTCAGCATAATTATTTAATTATGATTAATCAACTGTATGATGAATGGTTAATAAATAGTGAATTTTAAGTTATACGAACAATTAAAAGTGCAATTAGTTATGCAAAATTATATTCATTTTAAAAATAAATTTTTTTCTATTGTAATTATTTATCTATTGTTGAAAGTTATTATTTATCAATGTATAATTTTGTATATTTGAACAGAATAAAATAGTCTTGTAAACTGTATCCTCTGGAATTAACTAGATTTCAGTGTACCAATCTGCATAGTCAAATGTATATTATAATGTTCTTTATACATATATAATTACAATAATGTGTAAAAATATCTTTACATTGAAAAAAAGATTATTAAATTATTGGTTTTCAAGTTTTTTCCATAATAGTTTTATTATAATATCTAAAAGTACAGAAATTATAGTGTACTTAAGACAATTTCATATTAGAAGTAATAGAAATATGGAAAAAACTTAAAAATATAAATAAATCCTTAATTCGACGAAAGTATTTATTAGACAAGGGTAAAATATCTATTTAAGCTAATGAAAAAATGTAATATTTAAACAGATACTTTTTATATAAATTTTACTTTTATTTTCTGTATATTTGTATAATAATTGATATCATAATATTAAATTTAAGTATTTAGTTGTTAAACCTAGGGGGTCATTCGTGGTATAATTTATATTGCTTTAATTAATTTATATTACCTACGTAAAAAATTATTTGCTGGCTGTATTAAAAATTATGTACAGCTAACTCTAGTGGTTGTCATAGTTACAAATCTTATCAGTTTATCGTAAATATAAAATATCTACTAGGGTAAATCAATTACTATAGCAAGTATCGATCGTAGTTCATTTATTTTTTATGTAGTTAATTGTTCGAAAACATATAAATATTAAATGAGTAAAGAGAATACATTATACAAACACGTTAATTTCCTATTTTTTTTTCTATGTAGTTAAAATAGACCTATGATAAAAAATAATTAATAATTATTATGTAATACTGCTCGGAATGCTCGGATAATATTTTGCGTATGATTATAGATGATGATATATTAAGGGATGTAAATTAAAATTATCATTATATGTAGTGAAATTACTTATAGATATTAAAAATGTATGAAAAATTAAGAATTTTAACATCACTGTACAAAAATCTATTGAATTTACTCGTAATGAAATATTAAAATTTTGATTTAATTATTTGTTAAACTATTTTGAATTTTCAACTTGAAAAAAATAATAATATTCTTTTTCAAAAACTATTGTCCTGCTGTATTATGCCATTTATGTTGTATGCAAAACAAGTCCTATGTGTCGACGAAAAAATATTATAGTTTTTAACGTTACATGATGGAAATTTGCACAAACTCAAATAAATCAGATGTATGTCTAACATTTCAATCTCTGCTAGTGACGGATGAATTATTGAATTTTCATGAACAGTGGAAGTTCTATATTTTATAGGTCAACAACTAAAAATACTTTTCTGTTCGTCAGCATTTCCCAAAATGTTTAATGTAACTATTATATTTATAATTTGTATGATCATTTATTTCATAAAATAAACATAATTGTAAATACTAAATGTACTTGAAATTGATGCTATTTTGTTATTTTAATGTTTATAAATAGATAATTCATTATCTTGTATTAGTTTATGAAGACAAATTATTACACACATTTTTTAATGTACTGTATAGGTGTGATAATACGTATAATTCGATTTTATTATTAAAAAAATTATTTTCATTTCATTGTTTTTAAAGTCACATGTCTGACACAATTCACTGTAAAAAAGGATATTTTTTTAATTTTATTTATGTTTAGAATTGATTAAATAGTATAATAATTATTGTTTTAAATAAATTTAGTTAAATTTATAATTTATTATGGAAAAATATGTCATTTGTTCTAAATAAGTTAGCTATCATACTTGTTTAATTTTTCTTCAATAAATTGGTATAAAATACTTACTGTTGATAGGAATTAAAGGTGATTTAATGTTTTTTTTTTAGATTAATATAATATGAATAAAACATATTATTTTATATTTCTTAAGATTCTATTTGAATTAGTGCTCATATTGGTTAAATACCGATATGTATTTATTATCTGTAGACATTTTTGGGCAGAAAAATAGTTGCAAAAGTCTTATATTTTATGAATATCATGTATAGTAAGCAAGTTTTTCGAAGGAATTGTGTTCGGTTTTTTTAATTATTTCTAAAAACTATTAAAAACTATTAAAAATTATTGTAAGAAATGTTAGCGGCATGGTTTAAATCGAATTTAGCTCAGAACTCGTTTATTTATTATTATTATTTACCATTAATATCT